AGTGAAGTATTGTATTTCGTTACATTACAAATCCCATCCGTTACTGAGTAAAACAAAAATGTTGGAAAACCGGAAGCGCTACAGTGAGTGACGTGATCAGCATGTAGATCTAGGCTACCAGGCGCCAAGTCTATCTGTCGGAGATTGGGAATGAGATGGAGGTGGATCAGGAGAGCGACGACGGTTCAGAGAACGTTTCACTAGAAATGCTAGCTGAAACATCGAATTCTGCTGCCCAAAACGACAAAAATCCTTCGCCACATTTTAAAAAACTGCTTTTCATTTAAATTCAAGAGGGCCAACAGTATCATCATGCAATGCCAGATGTGTCTACCAAAGGTGACTGAACTGGCAGCATTCAATAACTCCACATCTAATCTGCAAAAGCATGTTTTGGTAAGTATTTAGTGCATTGGTACTTCAAACAAAGTTTTCATGACTAATAAGCAATTAGCAAAACGACCTGTTTCGTGGCATTGCTGATTTTGTCTAGCACAGGGGTCGGCAACCCGCGGCTCCGGATCCACATGTGGCTCTTTCATCCTTATACTGCGGCTCTGAGTGGCTTGGGAAAATAAATTGCTAAAAATAAAAAAAAAACTAAGTATTGTTGTTAATGTTTGAAGAAAAGAAGGACGGCCCTCAGAACCAACAATTTATGGCACTTTTACCTTCAATTGATTGTTTGAAAAACTTTTATGGGATGGTCTGAACTAAAATTGCACATTATACCTTTCTAAGGGTCTTAAATGTCATGTGTGACACGTGTTATCTTGTCATTACATGTGTATACATTTGTATGGATTTTTCTTTAATTAAAAACTAAATAGTTTTGGATTTATGACTCATTGTCCTATTTTCACTACATGGGAGAGATCTCTTTTTTTATGTAACTAAGTAACTTTTACTTAAAATACATTTTAAATTAGCTACGTATTACTTTTATTTGAGTAATTTTTCTGATGGGTAATTTTACTTGTACTTGAGTAATATTTCATCCAAGTATTGGTACTTTTCCTTGAGTGTGATATTTTAGTACTTTTTCCACCTCTGACTGCGGGCATCTCAGGCATGGATGGACTGGGAATCCAGGGCTGTTGGTCAGCCTCATTTATTACTCATACAGGTCAATCATCTCGTTATTTCAAGAAATCAATAACTGTTTTCTCCTAATAACGATAATTATCTTGTTATCTCGAGAAAACAATGAATGGTTTTACCGTGAAAACGAGATAGTTATGCCATTTTATTGAGAAGGCAAAGGGGAAAAAAAGAAGCGAATACAACCTCTTTTGGCTTCCATAGGATGCATATAATAGGTATACTGGCAACTTAATATTGTTGTAGCAGTTAGCAGTTGTAGCAGATGTCTCCTTGAAACCTAGTCGGCCTCAGCAGGAGGCTGCTAACAAAGTGCCTGGTTTCTTCCTGCAAAAGCAAGTTTTTCTTCTCCACCATCCCTGCATCCATGCTTGGTGTGATGGATTGTTGTAGGGTCAACAACACAATAAAAGCGAATATCCATTGACGTCACAAGCTCATCTTGGAGGAGCTAATCCTTCAAAGTCAAAGACTGGATGCAGGAACTAGTTTACTTTACATATAAATCCTTTCACCAATCTGACAGGATGATCGGACTGAAATGTCTCTTTAAAGTGCCTTGAGATGACGCATGTTGTGAAGTGACGCTATATAAATTAACTGAATTGAAATAAAATTGATTGAATACATGCATGCTCCACAGTGGCGCGGATGTGCTATATGTGCCCTTTTGTTTTCCTTCTGCCCTTGATTTCAGAAAGTCTGTGCACGCCACTGCT